GGGCGGCAGGGCATCAGGGCAGCCCTGCCCTGTGACGGTCTCTGATATGTATCAAATATTGTAATCATGAAATCTTGAAGTACTATTCGACATATTTATGCTGATTGATTTTACTCAACTTACAAATATTGGGAGAAATTAAAACATACTTGCAAAAATTAATGCACATATAAAAAACGCCTTTTAATACACAATAAAAATTAATACAATATACAGAATGAATTATCTTTTTTTCTTCATACATTATTTGGGATGTGGGTGTGGATGGGTGTGAATCAAGAGAAGACCGATACACCAACACCCACACCCTGCAAGTTTTACGTCGCTCGTACTCCGTTGACAGATCGATTCGCCGTAGACATCGCCATTGGTGCTTGCATCATAATGTCATCGGACTAGGTGGTATCATATTGGCGCACTGATTCATGGAATGAGATACCAGTGAGTGTTGGTCATCGGCCGATATTCGAATCGGTACTTCGCGCAAGACCATATCAGCATTGTTACCATCCATTCGTTTTTCAATACCAATAAAAGCGGTATGTGGACTCAGAATCTGATATTTGAGTGAAAGTTCAATAATGGATTTCTTTGTCATTCCTTTCTCGTCGATTCTCGTTGCTGGTATTGGCGATGAACGATTCTTCCGAATACAACTTAGTAACGAACCTGATTTCTTCTTCTTGATCGATGAGGGAAATTTCGAATGTTGTAATTCGAGAATAAGTGCTTTAGTCACGAGTCGAGCAATGGTTCCATTCATGCTCACATTACATGAACCATCAATTTTCGCCTTACCTAATCGACTTCTGTCAGTATGTAATTCCACTCTGGAATTATGATGGAAGACAAACATTGAATCATTGGCAAGTGCATAGATAATCAGATGATCATTTGCATAGACTGGTGGTATTTTTGTTGGTGCACTCATAACATTAGTACCCAAATTCCATTTCACTTGTATATTGGTTATACAAGATTGTAGAGCTTTTTGTAACTGTTCACCAACATGAATATCGACACTACTATTAGGTGAAATAAAAACGAAACGTTCTTTCGTTGCTCGAGCAAGACCTCTGACGAGTGAACGACTCGGCGAATGACCCAAACCAAATGAAAAGATCCTTGTGGAAGTAGCCATTGAACGACATAGATCGAGTACTTCGTTCACATTTGAAATTTCTCCATCAGTCAACAGAAATATTTGTCGTGTACGACCTTTTCGTGGAGGATGCTTTTCTAACCATTTCAGCGGTTCTAACTACAATGAAGACAAACGAAAACGTTTTTTCAAGATGAAATTGTTTAAACTTACCAATTCAGTACCACCCAAATCTGCCCGCAATTGATTGATGAGTCGTTCAGCTTTTTGAACATTTTTTTCATTGTAAATATCAGTGACCTCATCAAATAATGCCTCGTGATTAAATCCGAATTGAATGATATTAAATTGACAATCTAGTGGAAGACTTTTGAGAAAGAGTAACATGGCTTCACGTCCCAATCCAATCTTGTTCTAATCGTGCATTGATCCACTGCAATCGATAACAAAAATAAATTCATTCGTAGCTTCGACATTGTTCATCGCGTGTTGACAATCTTCTTTGGTTGGTATAAATGAAGTCATAACAGCACCTGGTTCCACCGCAACAATAGTATTCGAATGATTGCTAGCTAATTCAATATCTAACAAGATATCTTGATTTAGATGAGTGTTTTGTTGAGCAAACTCGATGGTACAGACATTCTCTTGATCCACTTCAACCTGGATAGGATGGAACATCGAACTAACTCGAGAAACGTTGACTTTCTCCACTCGACCGCGAAATTCAACTGTCTATGGAGCTGTTTGAACGTATTTAGACGTGGTACTAGCCGATGAGCTAGTGCCGTGTTTGTTTGGAGTATAGCGAGGTGCGATAGTCGTCGCAACAACAAATCGAATTCGGCTTCCATTTTGAACGAGATCCAATTCGGAGACATATGGTATATAAGTATGACATTCATTACCGGCTAGTAGTGCATCGACATTGATTATAAAATTATCTTGAGATTTTTTATCTTGTTCGAGTGAATATGCACCATGACCTTGTTGAAGAGCATCACTGTATTCCTGTTGTGCTTCCTTTTTTTCTTTCAATTGTGCGACAATTTCTCGATCATCAATTCGAGCCACAAATGAATAGATTGCTACTTGTCCTTCTATTGGAAAACAATACACTGCTTCGATTGGTTTCGTCTCATCGTTGCGAAAAATTTGTTCGATGGTGACATCAGCAGCGAACGATTTAATATATGCTTCGACACTCACATGTTTCAGTGGTACGTATTGTTGTTCTGACTGCTGTATAGAAAAGGAAGAATTTTGCTTGATTCGAAGCATTGTGATAAATGATGTTGTTGCTGAAATTACTCGCTTTTAATACTTGAAAACATAATTGATGGTATGCTGCAAAGTACGACGAGCGCCAGTACAGCGAGTAGCGCGACAATGAGTCAATTCTATGAAGAAAACATGAGAAATGTTTTTATTTGCACACGTAGCTCATCATGATTGATACTATTTCATAGTCTTGTGAAAGTATTTGAACAGTCGGATAGGATTGGAAGTAAAGTGCAGGCATTCAAAATAGGAACATTATTTTTTCGATGATATATTTGCCATTAGACAAAGATAAGAAAACTGCAAGAAAATGTACTTCTGTTATTTTTTTTCGTGCTTGTATGAACAAAAAAAAATGTCAAAATACATAATAAGCATTGCACGTAAACCACGAGCAGTTTATATATATATATATATAAGAAACGAAATTTTCAATCTTCAAACGACAGTTTTCAATCTATAGCTGATGGTATGAACAAACAAACAATCCATGATAAAAACAAAGAGAAACGTCATTGATATATAACATCATGGACTTTATAACATCATCATTACGAAAAATAAAGTATTATATTTGGCTTAATACATAATTATTATTATTATATTAATTAGAATATAAAACTTGAGTGACACTTATTTTTCTTGGTAAATTTAGTATTTGAGATGAATTATTTGACTTACTTCATATTGATAATTTAGATCATGATGTTATATGTTCATGATGTTTCTTTTGGTTTTTATCATTGATTTCGTTGTTGTTTTGTTTGTTTGTATCATCAATTTTAGATTGAAAATGATCGTTTGAAGATCAAAAATTTCTTTTCTTATATATATCAACTAAATAAAACTTCTACAATCAAATATTTTCTTGCTATACGAACGAGTCATTCTAGAGATATAGACGTTGCAAGTATAGATACTCTTCTAAATTTTCTGTAATTGTAGTTCTTTGGTCTCAAATTCAGAGTGAAATATTCATTGTTTTTTGGTTTTGATAGGCTTTTATTCTTTTTCTATTTTTCATATGCAATAAAAGATTTCCATGATATATTAAGGGTATGATCATATAGAGACCACGAGTCGCTGCAAAACACTCTATTTAAAAAAAAGGACAGCTAATAACAAATTGACGTGATGACTTGTTTTATGCATATGTGACATTTGTATTATCTTGACTTTTATTTCCATCAGTACGATACATGCCTGGCATTTTTGTTATTTGAATATTTACTGACACATGGTAGCTATCATGTGTTAATAGCAATTTAACTAATTGTTCTTATTTGCGTCGTTAAAAAAAAGAAATGAAAATTTATTTACAAATTGAATGTTCACTAATGATGATGTTGAGCATGTCGACCATCAGATGAGATAATGTTCGGAAAAAGAAGTATATCTACTGATACATGCTGGTATAGCTTATTAATAATTGTCATTTATCAAAGGAATCTATAAATCACATTAAACAAAATGCATAAGATGAGGGAGAAATTGACAACAAAGGAAAAAATGAAGACGTTGATATCAATATGAAAGAAGACGATAACATTGAATAACTTTCATTATATTACTATGGTACAAGTATAATTTAATTAACAATAATATCATATTCAAAGATTGTAAATATTCCATTAAACATTTTTTCTTTTCATATACTTTTAGGAACTAGCGACCTAACGTATTTTATTTTTCGTTGGTCAAAATTGTTATCCACATATCCTAATTATTTAGTCTGTCTATTGTA